GTTCTGCCTTGAGATTGAAAACTACGAGCGAAAAAAAGAGAGAGGAAGAACACAAAGATTTAGAATAAAAAAAACTCTGCTCTAAAAGCAATTTCTGGAAATGCATTCGAGCAATGGATTTTTTTCTTCTTTTGAAATTAGTTGGAATTTGTTTTCAAATATTCCATTACTGAACTTCCACGATCTCACTTCTCACTTTTACAGCTACTTACGCACAGCTATCTTTTCAGAAATGTAGTAAAAACATTCTTACTCTAATTTTTGGATCGTCATAAAATTATACCGTCAAATTTCTTTTACACTGAAATTAGATTTTAAGAACTAAGCATCATTCTCGAAGAACTCAACGTTTTTATTAATTTGGCGTCATTGTGTCAGGGCATTAACAATAGTGGTCTTGTTCATCTCTATGTCCCTCTCTATTACATGTCACGTGTTTGAGTTCCCTCCTTCAAATAAATAAATTAATCTAACTTACAGGAGTAAGCGGTTTAGATGACATGGTTTGCAAATACGATATTTTACGTTTTCTTTAGAAAAAGTTGGTACAATTCTTAGCCCCAAAAATTTCCGTGGATGAAGGATAAGTGCAAGTGGTTGGCGTGGTGTCTGTTTGTACCTCCTCACAGGTTGAGGTGGGACATAATACTTTTTATTTCTTTAGGTATACTTGACATTCTAATTGTATTTGAGTTATACAAGAATCAACTAACAATTGGTGGAACTCAGTCCTACACGCTAAACATCTTGACTTTTAAATTTTATTTTTATCCTTCAGCTTACTTTACGATGATTTTTTTCATTTGGAGTGTTTGTATTTATTCTCTAAATGTTGCATAATTAGTTATTTTAGTCCTCAATTCATCTAAGTTAATATTTTCTTAAAGTAGTGATTATAGGATAAATGAATTTTTTTAGTTCAACTATACGAATTGAATTATTGACTACTTAATGATTTTATCTACTTAAATTGACTAGATAATTGTTATGAACTTGGTTATTTGTTTAAGATGAGTTTTAAGTTAGTACTTTGACATTTCAGCTGTATTTGAGTTGTACATCATCAATTAAATTAGTTGAAATCAATCATTCACGTTAAACATTGTTTTTTTTTTTTTTTTTTTTTTTTTTTTTTAGAACGTTGATGGTGATTTTAGGATTATACTTAAATATGGAGTGTTTAATTTTACTTTTCTGGGGTTGATCTTTCGTGAAGCCGATTGGTTTCAATATTACTTATTGATACTATTACTTATGAGATCGGAAAATGTAAAATGGCATAAAACACTGTGCAGGAAGCCGTGGAATGGGAGCACAAAAGCAGAGTACCAGGCAAGATGCATGCTTGTGGGCACGATGCTCACGTTACAATGCTTCTTGGTGCTGCCATGATCTTGAAGGATCGCGAACATCTCTTGAAGGTTTGCCAAACACCCTCAACTTATTTTGATTTTCTGGAAACAAATAATTTTAGAAGAGTTAATACTATAAGATTCTCTGATTCCAAGCCTCCGAGATGATGGAGTTTTTTCTTATTTTTCTTATTTTTATTTTTTATTAGTAGGCAATGAAGAATAAAAAAGATAAAATTAACGAAACGCTAGTGTTAAAATAATGGATACATTATTTTGCAAAAATAAAGATGGACAAATTAGGCAAATTTACTTTTATAGTTGCAGAAATTTATAATATAGACTACTTAAATTGTCACTTACCGTAATAAATATAAACATTTATGATTAAGGCCACTATAGTTGTCATCGACCACAATAAATATAGATAGACCACTTTAATTTTAATTATCAATGTCCATAATAAATACATTTAATTAATTGCTTTCGAAGTCTTCTCGCCACATGTAGAATGTTTTATATGGACAAGTGGCTTGTCACGACTTTTTAACCTTACCAACCAAACTATAGTTTGGTGTTTGGAATTAGCAAAAATTACTATTACTATTTACTCACTATTTACAAGCTCATAACTCAGATGCAAGATGTCATCAACGGTAAAAATAACATAATGAGCATAATTAAAATACATTTAGAGTACTCCTGATAAGTTTTTCTAATATGATACTCCGACCATTATTCCCAACCACTTTACCAAAATGGAAAAAAGAAAGAGAACAAAACAAGGATGGTTCTGACACTCTTCGAACTAGTAGACCAGCTGGCGACATGATTTTAGATTCTTTGTTGGGTTGCTGCGATGTTTCTCGAGTTTATCTCATATTTGTATTCTTTTATCTGTGTGAGAGTACTAAAATCCGTGGCTACCCATCACTCATTTTGAGTTCTAAGTACTGTGTTTTACAGGGAACAGTGGTTTTGCTGTTCCAGCCAGCTGAAGAAGCTGGCAATGGCGCAAAGCGAATGATTGGCGATGGAGCTTTAAGAAACGTTCAAGCCATTTTTGCTGTTCATGTTTCTCATGAACTTCCCACCGCCATTATTGGGTCCCGGCCCGGTCCTCTGCTAGCTGGCTGTGGCTTCTTTAGGGCGGTGATTACCGGCAAAAAGGGCCAGGCTGGGTCGCCTCACCGGTCCGTCGACCCGGTTCTGGCTGCCTCGGCCGCCGTTATCAGTCTGCAGGGGATTGTGTCTCGTGAAGCAAATCCTTTAGATTCGCAGGTTCGGTTTTTTTTTTTTTTTTTTTTTTTTTTTTTTTTTTTTTTTTTTTTTTTTTT